TTATAGGTAATTTGTCACACAAACTTGTGTTATTTGTGTTACTAATCGAGTTAAATATCATCGTATATGAGTTACAGTTGTTTTTGTCCATAGCTCCTCAAGACTTGAATTTTTCATGATAGCTTATTGTACCTTGCTCTTTTCATTCCTTGCTGTATGCCAGTGATTTTCTCTATGCCCGCAACTTCTATGTCATATATTTCTTGTTCTTAAACTATTTTCCCACAATGAGGTAACACAGTGATTCTCATATTGAAATTTTGTATTACTGGTGAGTTGTCATTTATCAAGAGCACTGTCTAAATTAACTATGTCCTGTGTTTCATGTGTCCTCCCTGGTTTTTTTTTTTTTTAGATTAAACTGGAAGAAAAATAACAAATGATTATATTTATCCTCTTGTTGCATACATAACACCACTCGACACTATAAAAGCCAGTAGGGACAAAGCTTCCAGATAAATATAGTTTTATTTCTCCACATTCCATGACTAAGGTGTGTGATGTCTTCAGTATTATGATCTAACCTTCAAGTTCCAGAGGATGATCAAGATGAATGGCAATAGTCTGTGACCCTAATGAAAAATAATACATCAAAATCAGGTAACTTATTCCTGGTATTGAGGCTTTTGTTTGGTAGCCTATGGTGTCTAGGAGTGATATTGTTCCCTCATTGTAGGGTACCTCCAATTGAACTCTTTTCATATAAGTGTATGTATACATCTGAAGATGGACTAGACATTGTTGCTGTATTTATTGCTTGTATATATTGTATATAGTTATCGTACTTATTGTAGTTTTTCTTATATTAGTTATAACTTCATTTTTTTATTTTTATTAGACAAAAAGGGGAAATGTGGTAATATTTTATTTGTGCTGAAATGTGGTGATATTTTATTTGTACTTTAATAAATAAAGCTTGCCTGGAGATCAGAGGAAAAAGGCCAGCCATTATAAGTAAACAAAGAAGTCAGGCAGCAGTATTACATGCCCTTAATCCTATCACTTAGCAGGCAGGACCTCTGTGTATTCAAGGCCACACTAGGGAACAGAACCAAGCATAGTGACATGTCTTTAATCTCAGTACCAACCATAGACATCTGGAGGTCTGTACAGACAGACAGATAGTGACAGAGCTATGTAGGAAGAGGAAGTGATATAGCTGGGCTAAGAAAGCCAATGAGAGAACAAAACAGAAAAGGTATATAAACAAGAGTATACAGAAGAAGCTCTCTTTGGAAGCTGCAGAGTTGGTGAGGTAAGGGTAACTGATGGCTTTCCCTATTTCTCTGATCTCTCTAAAGCTTTCACTTCTATTTCTGGCTCTGTGTTTTTTGTTTATTAAGACCATTTAGAAATTCCTCTACAATGATTGTAGCTGGAAGTTTTCCTGTGTCCTACCTAGCCACATGGTGGGCCCTCAGCTGCTTATAAAATAATCATTCAGCGGCTTGATATTATTTATAACTGCTCAGCCATTAGCTCAAGCTTATTACTGACTAGCTCTTACACTTAAATTAACCCATAGTTCTTATCTATATTTAGCCACTTGGCTTGGTACCTCAGCTGTGCCTTGTTATCTTGCTTCCTCTGTGTCTGGCTGATAACTCCTGACTCAGCCTTCCTCTTCCCAGAATTCTCCTCTCTGCTTGCCGTGCTTATGCTTCCTGCCTGGCTACTGGCCAATCAGTGTTTTATTTATCAACCAATCAGAGCAACACATATTCACAGCATACAGAATGACATCCCACAGCATACACCTTAGGAAGTTCCTACAGTAGTTGGTTTCTGCATGACTTTCTCCAAGGCTGTCCTATTAGTTATTTTTCCCATACTCCCTTTGAAACAAGACCTACTAAATGCTCTGTAGCAAACACTATCTGCAGTCAGGTGGCCATCTATATAACTTGTATTCAGCAATAATTTTGACATTTTGTTACATTCATTAATGATACCAACATGTTGTTAAATGTAATTACTTTAAAATTGTGAACTATTCATTACTATTGTTTCACTTTTCTTTGATTTTTTTTAAAGTTATTTTTTTCCCCAAATGTAATTTCCAGTGGGTGAAAATCTAAATGATGAGTTCATTATATACCTATAATTTTGTTAGCCATAATTTCATGTTTTCCTCCCCTGGTTTAGCTTCCATTTATCTACATTGGACCTTCTTTAACCTCCCTCAATCTCTTGAATATACTGGTAGAAAATTACTTTAATTATACTTTCATGAATTCTAAAATTAAAACTCAAGAAAAAAGTATGTTACAAAAAGTGCTAGGAAATAAGATAAGGAACTAAAAGTGCTTTGCTAAATATAAAGATAAATAAGTGCATCATTTTACTTCATTTTATTAATTCTTTGAGAATTTTGCACAATGCATTTGATCATACTCACATCCTCCCCAATTCCTCCCATATCCATCACATCTTTTCTACCCACCCAACTTGCTGTTCCCCCTTTTTTGTACATTCGTAGTACAAGTTATGCTGTCAATATAATCTTGGATGTTGAGGTCTTAACTGGAGAGTGTACCCACCAGGGCCTATACCCTCAAAAACAAAAACAGACAAGAACAAAGGACAAACACTGTATTCTTCTCTCAGCAGTTATGAAGTACAGTAGCTCATTAGATAGGGGTTGGGATTTTATTAGGTTTGAGCCTGCACAGGTCTTATAAATATTGCCATAATAACTGTGAATTTATATATGCAGCTGCCTTGCTGTACCAAGAAAACATAGTTTTCTTATAGTCATACACCTATGACTCTTACAACTGTTCTGCCTCCTCTCCCATCATGAACTCTAAGCCTTGGATGGAGTGGATATGACATAGATGTTGACTTTTTTAAAATTGTGAATTCTACAATCTCTTATTATCTACACCTTGAGCAGTTGTAGGTCTCGATGTTAATCACCAGCTACCTCAAAAAGACATTTACCTAATAAGAGTTGACTGATGCACTGATCTATAGGTATAACAATAAGCTATTAGTACTCATTTTAAACTACTGTCCACTTAGCAGAATGTTAGTTAGGGCTACTATTGCTGTGACAAAACACCATGATCTAAAGCAACATGGGGAGGAAAGGGTTTATTTCACCTATGGTTCCATATAAAACAGTTTATCATCAAAAGTGAAGGCAGGGACCCATGCAGAGAGGAATCCTGGAGGCAGGAGCAGATGCAGAGTCCATAGTAGATGGCTGCTTACTGGCTTGCTCCCATGGCTTGCTAAGCCTACTTTCTTACAGAACCCATGACTACCAGTCCAGGGGTGACACAACCCACATTGATCTCACTCATAAGTCATCAATCAAGAAAATGTATTTATAAGAGAAAGAAAGGAATATGATTGAACTCATTGGCATGGTAAAGGAGTTTCTGAAAAGGACTATACTAGCTCAGTCATTAAGACCAACATTGAGAAGTCAGGAAATTAAAAATTTTCCTTATAGCAAAAAATACTACCATTCAAGTAAGTGGCAGTCAAAAGAGTAAGGAAAATATCTTTAATGCCTATATACCTGACAAAGGGTTAGCATCTAGAATATATAATTCAATGTATTGTTATTAATATTTATTTTCTGATAATCCTTGTAAAATTAATGTGAGTTTAAGGAATTTACTAGTATTATTTTATAATAAAAACAGAAGCCTATAGCTTATAGTGATTAAGTTTTGAATCCAAGATCTGTGGAGAATAATCATTAAATTAATGAAATTAATCCCTAAAGAATATTCATTAACTAATATTCTATTTGGGAAGAAAAACCATTTTCAGTGCAATATAAAGGTAAGCCCTGAAAGGCAAAATGAATTCATGCTTAATATTCATGGCTTCCTAATTACCAAAAGGACAAAAAGCTTGGGGCTTTAAGAACAGCCTTCTTATAAAGTTGAATATCATGGGCTGTGCTTAAGTTCACTGAGCTGAAGTTGTGAGCAGATATTTAAGTATTATTTCTCAGTTCATAAAAATCATTCTCAAAAATTGTATTTTCTCCAGCACAAGGAATCTGCAATAAAGGATCTGGGTGAGTTTCCTGAAGAACTCTCTGACTGTACATTAGTCCTCTCCCAACAAAAAATGGTAACCAGATTCACAGTAGATCTCCATAAATACTTGCCTCTTAATTGAGGATATTTGTTAATGCCTTTATTGAACAAGACACTTCACATTGCCTTGTTTTGAATAATGCAGAACCTGGAATGAGATTTTAGTTTTAAATTTCACCTGTTTATCATTCTTTTAGATTAATATAATTACATAATTCCCCCTTTCTCTTTCCTTTCTCACAACCCTCTCACATACTCCCAGCTATCTTTCAAATTCATGGCTTCTTTTTCTTTAATTGTTGTTGTTAGTGGTGGTGGCAGTGCTAATGTGTGTGTGCATGTGTGTGTGTGTGTTGTGTGTGTATCCCTAAACACATAATAAAATCTGATCAGTCTGCATAATGTTACTTGTATGAAAGTTTTCAGGGCTGACCATTTGGTTTTGAATGATCAATTGGTGTGCTCTTCCCTGGAGAAGACTATTTCTCCCACTCTCCATGTAAGCTCCTAAAGAAGAGAAGTAACTAGTCATCCTATCCAGCCGTAGCATGTATGAACAACAACAATGTCTAGCATGGCACAATAATTCTAAAGATACAATAGTGGCATGAAACTTTTGTGGTAACCAACAAGAAGGAAACCATGCCTGGTAGTGAAACCTAACCAATTACCCAAGGTTAGTGAAATCATGGATCTTGGAGGAGAGCCTACAACAGCCACTTTACTAAACCAGCATAATTCCTAATGACATTAAATATTTTTCCTTATACATAAAGACAAGTGTAGTCCTTATCCTTCATCTCTTTTGTACAGATGAAGACCATTACAAAGAACCACAACCTAGTGAAATGCAGACCCCTAGAGCCCAATCACAACTGATAGATCTACAAAACCACTCTTGCCCCTGAGGCTCAGAGATCATTTGGGAGGAGGGGTTGGAAAGATGGTAATATCCACGCTTCACGAATTTGCGTGTCATCCTTGTGCAGGGGCCATGCTAATCTTCTCTGTATCGTTCCAATTTTAGTATATGTGCTGCCAAAGTGAGGATAAGTGAGACAGTTGATTAGCTTGATCTGTTTGGGAGGCATCCAGGCAGTGGGACCGGGACCTGTCCTCAGTGCATGAGCTGGCTGTTTGGAACCTGGGGCTTATACAGGGACACTTGGCTCAGTCTGGGAAGAGAGGACTAGACCTGCCTAGACTGAATTTACCAGGTTGAACTCAATCCCCAGGGGAGTCTTTGCCATGGAGAAGATTGTAATGGGGGGTGGGCTGGGGGAAAGGTGGGAGGGGGGGCGGGAGGGGGGGGGGGGAGAACAAGGGAATCCGTGACTGATATGTAAAATTAAATTAAATTATAAAAAAAAGGGGAGGAACAGAGAGTTATGTCTGAGATTGTGTCATCTCATAATGTCGGAAGCTACACACCATTAAGTTTCACTAAAATGGCTGCCTAAACTTGATCTGAACAAAGAAAATAACAGATATGCTAATGTGAGCAGAGGAAAAGACCGAAGAGCCACATGCAACTAAGGAATGCCGGGAGTGGAAGAAGGAATCTTTCCCAACAAAGAGAACAGCAATCAGAGTGTGATTGCAACCATGCCTTCAACCTTGAGAGATTTCTTCTGCATCACCCCTTTGGAAATTTCACTGAGGACCTGATGATTTGGCTGTGCTTGGAACATCCTGGGTGTTTTACTTGAGAGAGAAAACTAATGTTAACATCATACAGAGTAGCATTTTGAGTGAAAAATGGGGACTATTAGAATAAAAACATCTAACGCCTAAGTCTAACAAGAAAACAAAACAAATCAAAACAAAACAAAAGGTCCATGGAAAGATGATTCGCAACATGGAAGTAAAAATACCCTTGTGGGGAGTGAAGCAAGACCAAGAAGGGGTAGTCTTCCATGGCCAGAAAGTATCAAGTCTAAAAAGAGAAAGCTAAAACCCACACAGATATGAAACAGACAATGCAAGTCAGGTGGAGCACAGAAGAGACAGGAAGTGTGAAGACAAGAGAGGAATTTAGGAGTAAAAGTCAAGATGTGTCTAGCTTTTTTTTTATTGTCTTGGTTTGCTTCTTTCTCTCTTTTTATTTGGTTTTTAGTTTATTTACCTTTACAACATGTTTTTGGGAAGCTTTGAGAAACTGTAATTTTTAGGTGCATTTTTATGGAATCTGGCTGCCTATTTATAAAGGTACAAATGGAAAATGTGATCGATCCATGCTTGCAATACAAAATCAGAAGTCTGGTGCTTTAGGCAGGAGGAAGGATGGAAAGAATTTATGGAGTTCCAGCTTCAGAGGCAGACTTACAGGTATTTCAAACCCAGACAGAGATATAGAAGGAGTACCTTTTACATGTATGCATTTTGATTCAGAACTGTTGGGTTTAGATAAATTCAGGAGTCATAGAGCTGGGTCATATGTAGATCTAGCTTTAATTTTTTTTGACAAACTTCCATATTCACTTTCATAGTAGATTCCCAATTTTACACTCCCAATGGGAATGCATAAGTATTTCCTATTGTTTATCATATTACTATACACACTAGCTAAGTTATGGAATCAACCAATCAACAGAAGAATGGTTAAGAAAATGAGGTATGTGTATATGCAATAGAATGTTTTCAGCCATAAAGAAGAATTTAATAATGAAGTTATATATTTAGCAAGAAAATGGATGCAATTGCAGATAGTTATGTTAATGCAGTAATGCAGATATTGCCCATAATTTGCAAGTCCTACATTTCTATAGATACATAAAACTTCTATATATAGATGACATGAAAATAGAAATGAAACTTTCTAGGAAATGAGGACTGACAAGAACGGAAAAATGGGAGAACTGGATAGGAACAGAATATGGGGGTGACATGTGATCGAAGTACAATGTAGAATTGCATGAAAATGATTTTATTAAACCAACATAAAAATTAATGCTAGGTTTAAAGATTCTAGAGCATTGTCAAGTATACTGATCTCTATTGAGACAAATGTGACAATTGTTACAGTTATTTTCCTGAATAGTACAACGGAATGACTTTTCTATCATTTCATCCACACCCTCTTCCCTTCTACACTATGGGTTTTGTTGCTCTATAATGATGGCTTCCTGAACTCTGATTCAACTTGGCCTTAGTGGTATGAGCACAATAACACAAGCAGACCTGGAAAGCTCATACACATGTGCCCTAGTCCTCTTCTATCCCAAGAGCAGGACATTACTGTTGTCAGTAAGATGCTACCAGAAAGAAGATATGATTTCCATGGCATGTCTGAAGCACCCGAGTGTCTCAGCCTGTATCATCTCAGGTCAAGAGAAAAACTCCTGACGCTAAGACATGTGGATAAATCCAACCAAGACCAGCAGAGTTTGTAGCTGGTGCCTAAATTTACAGAAATAGTTGCTTTTATGTTGCTGAGTTTTTAAGGATGTTTGCCTAATCACAACAGCATAGCCTAGTCATTTATTTGCCTTCTCATGTTTTTTTAGACACAAAAGAAGGGTGGTAAATCGATGTGGTTCTACAACGGCCAAAGATATATTGCTGAACAGTGTGAAAAACTTCTTCTAATGAAACAGAAAGAGTGTGAATCTGAATAGAAGTTGAGGATGAGATAGGGAGGAACTCAGAGGAGTCGGGGGAGGGCAAGCTATAATCAGAATACATTGTATGAAAAAAATCTATTTTCAATAAAAGAAAAAATAGAACCTATAGTTGTTATATTACTTAACATATCTGCAGACAATAAGTGACCCATTTAAGAAGACAGTTCATCAAAAATGATTTGAAAAGATATAGTCAGGATTAAAGGAGCCAGCAGGCCAAATTGCAAGAGCAAGAGCGGGGATCTGTTATACTGGCTAAAAGTCCAAAGAACACTACGTTCCAGAAGCACGCTAAGGAAAGAAGCTGGGTTCCCAGGCTGGGAAAACTGTGGAAGGAGATGGACCATTTACATTCTTTAATATTTTTCTCTAAACCGATAACCCCTTTGATGGTCAGGAGACAAATATTTGATTAGAAAGTGATAAATAAACTAACTAGAAGACATATCCTTGCCATATGACTCTTGTCTTTGTCTACATGAAAAATATGTAACGTATTTCATAACAAAGTCACCATTTGATCATCAAATGTGATCAACTCAGTTAAACTGACAACTTGAAATAATAAACCCCAAGATGACATCTTCATGAAAGACAGCAGTAGAGCTTGAAAGAAAAAGCATAATATATGCAATGGTACTTAGTAATTTTTAAAATGACATCTACTTAGTCTGTGTGTGTGTGTGTAATTGTGTGTGTGTGTGTGTGTGTGTGTGTGTGTGTGTGTGTGTGTGTGCATGCGTGCGCGCGCAGTAGAGTAGTATGTGTGCATGTGCCACAGTTTACCTGTGGAGTTCAGATGCCAACTTTTGAAAATCAGCTTTCTTCTTCCACCAAATGGGTCCCAGGGATCAAACCCAGGTCCTCAGCTTTAGAAGCAGGTGTCTTTTCCTGCTAAGCCATTTCACAGATCTGCTAGGTTTTGACACATTTATGTAAAATTAAATTATAGTGATAATAATTATGAATTGAAAAATATAGTTGATTTGGAAAAAGTATACAGTGTTTTGTAATTCCTCTGCCATGAAGTAGACACAAATATCTCCATGCTATTGAGTCTCTCAGTTTTAATAGTATGGCCATGTCCTTTAGGCAGTAAGAGGAAGTTTAAATTGTGCCCCTGAGAAATATGCATCCATAGATATTGATATTTACACAAATTGAATCTCTAAGAAAATAATTATATAAATTAAAACTCCCTTGATTTATCTATATCCATATATAATGTATATCTTTCTACCTATGCATAGAAAGAATAAGAAGAGAGAAATAATAAAATTGCATTTCATGGAGTTTAAATGTTTGTATGTCATAAATCTTGAATAGAACAATAAGAGAAGTTATATTATCAATCCAATATAAATAATTTAAAAATAATAATTTTGCCACCTCTATCATTTTATCTTGTCTTAAAGACGTTATGTGAAATGGGTCTTCCTATTTCGTATAATAATAAAGGTTACAAGTTACGACAGTTTCATCTTCAAAGCCTTTTACAAATGACTGCGAATATTGCCTTAGCATTAATTTAATCTGCAGAAGCACCCACTGGAGAACAGCCATTACTCCTGATTTATGTCTATTTTATTAGCTCCAGTTACCCGAGCAGACACAGCAAGCTTTGAAACCAGCCTTCCCAAGCCTTGTAAACTGTTAGTATAAACTCAATTTATCTGTTGGCATAAACTTGGTATCCGCTCTCCTTGGGAAGTCTTAATTTAATGATCCACAGTATCTAAGGCAAAAAAGAAAGTGGTTCATAGACATCAGCCCATCAGATCTCAGGCCTCTCTGAGAGCTCTGTGCCTATTCAAACTATGGGTTGTTGTCATTAAGGGAGCTGGACTGTTTTCATATAGGAATTGTGCACGAGTCAAAAGAAATAGTCATACATCACATGTAGTCATCTGTAAGATCTTTCCTGTCTTGCCCTGTGGTTCATTCTGCTTCTCTCTTCCCAGCAAACAGAAACAAGCCAACGTATACAGCAATAACTCTACCCAGTGGCTCTGCCCTGCCTCTCACTTCTTTTCCAGGTTCGCTTCCAGATACACACTAAAGCCTCATGTTCTGACTTCAGGGTGACTATCTCCAAGCCCTTCAAACTCTCCCTTTACAGTGCTTCAAGGGAGGCTTCTAATATTGCATATGACTTGCTAATGGAAAAGAGAATGTGTCCAGTACCTGGCACTTATGAGTCCCTCACTCAAAATAGTCCATAATAAGCAATTTTAGAATCATTTCATGCATCTTTAAAAGTAGGATAAATTTCGTGAAGATAACACTTGTAATAATGGAAATTTAATTGGTACTCTATGGACAAATGAATGAAGTGGTAGGGAACAGACACATCACTTTTGCCTATATCCCTCTGTGCTCTCCGTTGTCCACTAGGTGATGTTCATATATTGAAAAGGCAGAGGTCATT